AAAGAACTGTTTTCAGCGTTTTCATCTAACATGTCTCGTATTTGATGAGCGATGATGTATATTCATTATCGTGATTGCTCAATCACTTATCCTTAATTATTTTCTTGTTGTCTAACATATTTATGTGTAACAAAAGTATGTTTTTTTTCAAGCAGAAACCAAGTCTCGTTCAGCTTTCAATGGCAAAACAATTAAGCGCAAGGTAAGTAATTGATGAGAGCGGTTTCGCGCCAAAACTCATATTTGCTATTCCCGCTTATATATACTTCCGTCGCATCGGATGAAAAAGTTATGATACGAACAGTTTGTGCTATATTATTTCTTATCTATGAAAGAGAGGAATATTTTGTTTAATTTTAGGCATGTCAGCCATCTTGAATTTCTATTGGTCGGCGTATAAAACGAATAAAATAGTTGTACGTGGAAACGAGCGCTTTTTTCGCAAGTGTGTGATGATCGAAAATAATTGTACAAGTCGAGAAAACCCTTCAACGTCTGGGGGTTTGAAGCAGTTCTAAGGATAATAATAACAGTCGCTTTCAATATCTCTTAGCGGGTTAAGGGATACCCCGTCCTTATATGTTTCTACTATTTAATTCTATAGATCGTTCCCATGTATCATTGTTTTCGTTGAAAATTTTAATTTTATATGCATCTGAACATTTCAATATTGGACAGAAGAAAACTCGTGCTACCAGTAAAAGTCAGCTCTCCTCTGTTCGTCGTATCAACATATGCGTTAGGAAAACTGACAATTACATCAGTATTTTCATTCATGCGAACAAATATATCACTGCCTTTGGATTTTCCACCGCCGAATGTAGGGCCATAATTATGTGCCATAAATGAAGCACACTCTCGATTTTTAATCTTATACTTTGTTGGTGGAATACTATGCGGATTTGTTAGTGTAAACAAAAACGCTGTTGAATCTTCTTGAAGCTTTAATGGATCGATATTCCAAATTGCTTTTGTATAACCTCCAAACAAATATCCGCCATTGTTAGATTGATAAATGGTCACGGTTGGACTAATATTATCACAAAGATGATGAAATGTGTCTAGATTAAAGCCATCTCTCGTTGCCTGGTAAATTAATTGCCACTTTTGGTTTAAATTACCATAGAATTCGTTTAGTGTTACTTGTTGTTTTCGAGATAACAGCGAGCTTCCAATAAATATGGAATCTAAGTTCTTTACGATGGATAACTTTTCTGCAACGACCATAGTTGAGCTTGCGTCAATAAGAATACAATCTCTGTCGATTTTTAATGATTTTGTTTTGATATGAATAGAATTTTGTTTAAATTCTTCGAAAGTATTCTGTATACTTCTCAAAGTCTGTTTTACTTGATCGATTTGATCTTGGGTAATGTCATCTTCGAGAATAATTTGTTTTATTTCTTCTTTGAGATTATTAACCGCTTTAACTTGCTCATTTTTTTGTTTAACAAAATTTTTCTCTACAAAAATATCAATTTCTTGCTTCTTCATATCATGCACTTGATCAATCACTTTATGACACTCATCTTTCCATTTCGATAGTGTATCATAAGATTGTTCAGTTATAGAAGCATGATTTAAGTCATGGATTCTGTTTGCCAACTCATTTATCTGATCAGTTATCGGATAAATTTCTCTTTTGAGTGCTTCCAAATGTTCATTGAAATGTTTCTTGCATACATCTTTGTTACAATGACGGCATAGGGCAGCTATATTTCTTTTACATTCACCAATTTCACATTTTCGAAAAGATGTTGCCATAAATAAAAAAATAAGCGCGATGCTTACATTTACAATGTGATTAAAATTTTAAAAGAAACACAAAAAAGGTAAGTTATTGTTGAATTCACGTTTCTTTTCCTCAAAAGAAATGTGAGTAATACATCTTACTTTGTTTTTCTCTTTCTTTCCTTTTAGTCACTCTGCTATTTTTTATCAAAATTCTGCTTTCTTCAAAATAATGTTGCGTTTTACGGTTCTCCACGCTTCTTTGGAAACAAGCACATTCAATGACTGATTTTACCAGCATTCCGACAGTCGCCATTATGGTCTTCCATGAGGCTCGCGAAGTTGTAACTAAGTACAATTTTGTTAAAAAAATGAAGGTCTAAATAAAAGGAAAATCATTTAAGTGACTCACTTTTTGGTATGACAAATTTTATTTGAATTGTAGTGATCGTTGGAACCTACGCTAGCTGTCATACCGATAAGTTATCATATCCACTCATCAACTATTTATTAAGGGAGGTCTTGCCCTCTATATGTGCGTTCAAATAAATATTTATTTGTTTATGATGATAATCGTGAAGCATTTTCACAGTTACTTATGAATGAAACATATCCAAGAAGTATTAATAGTCGCAACTAGACAAAAAAGTTTAAAACGGATCTGTGATGTATGAAAAGAAAGTCGATACTTCACAGCATCAAATGCAAATTTTCCTACATTGGAATTCCACCTTGGTGCATGGTATTATGGTCAAGATAAACTATTCTAATTATGTTTCCTTGTTGGAAACCGAAGGAAATTGTAGCTTTATAGTATTTTACATTTATTCTTTTACTTCTTGTAGAGAATCAAATAGTGAAAATTTTTTAAAAAATTCTAAACTACGCGATCAAAAATAAAAGAATTATTCGAAAACTACTAAAAGTGCAATTTCTTCTAAAGCATCGGTTCGCTTATTGTAAGATACGAATATTACTTTCAACATTCAGCAGCACATTTTGTTATGTTTATGATAGACAAACATTGAGCAATAAAACGTATTTTTCCCTTTTCTACAAAGATATCCAAGCTTCAATGTGATTTTCGCCATCAAGCTATTCGACTGCTTAAACTATACCGTTTCCCATAAAACTCAAAAAGTATTTCAACGTTTCGTGTAGTGTGTCTGAAGCAGGAAAAGCAAGGAAGATCAATGAAATACTGTGATAGTTAACTCATTCGGCTGCATGTGCTTATCTTATACGTACTACTTTTGTACGCACTTTCATATGTACATGTGAAATAATTTTAAACAGTCACTGGACTTCCAAGCTAGCGTTTGAATATGTATCGGCTTTCCTATCAATACACTACATAACTAACACTCTTGTTAGAAATGATTGAAAGGATAAAGCGTCGGCGAAACTAGGTCATCTAGCACCTTGGGTTACTCTGAAGAGAATTCCGTATTGTAGTTCATAAGAATTCTCTGAGAATTTGAAGAATCTATCAATCTTCGTAAATTGAATGAAATTATATTTTGCTTTTTGCTTTTTTGCTTTTTTGCTTAAAGGTCGGGATTGTTACAAGTTATACATGATTATTCAAATCCATCTATAGCAGAACTGGGTAAGAGAATTGAACAATTAGTGGACTAACAGATGAGGACTTCACTGGTGATACTGTACGATTAACCTGTTGTTTAACATGAGATATAACACGATTTTGTGCAGGTGTAAGAGGAAAAACTCTGTTCAGACGACTTCTAAATGCTTAAGGTATGTGTACATGGTTCGGAACCATATCTTTTTCCAGCAGCTGTTCAACTGATTCTCTTCTATACTGTAACAATGCAGGGCACTGAGAATATGTATAAGAATGCTCACCACAGTAATTCCTGCACTTAGTAACATTGGTACTCACATGTGGTGAATCAAGAGATTTTTCTGCAGAACAGACAGCACAGTATTCATGAGCACTTGCACATTTGGCACGGAAGTGCTCGTATTCCTGGCATTTAGAGCATAGTACGACCCCAGGTGTAACCAAATAGCGTTTCACTGTTAGCTTCAAATGATTAACATAAATAAACCCATTATTTGAACATATTGTGTAATCACGATTGTCACGGAAATTAATCTTAACATTTCGTGTTCGACTAGATGCAGGACAGACGAAAAGAACGACATCCGCAGAGGCATACCGCTCCTGAACATTAGCTATTACTTCTGCTTCTGATAGCTGACAAGAAACTCCCATAGCTAAAACACTCGCCTGTAGAGATATACACTTAGGCTGTTCAATATTAAATTGTTGATCATTAATACTTCTTGGATATGTTTCATTCATAAGTAACTGTGAAAACGCTTCACGACTATCACCATAAACAAATAAATATTTCTTTATACTATCAATTCGCTAAAATGAAACCAAGTTACGAGTTCTAACATTTCGTCTTTTTAATTCATCAGTAAACTGTCTGGTAATCTAATCAGTAAACAAGACATTTGTATTAGTAAATGAAACTTTAACCGGCGGAAATCTGAATTCACAACTGAAACGTTCTGCTTCCTTGCAAACCTTGGAAACAGGTGTCTGTAATGATGGTGAAGTTGTTGCATCAAAAAACTGATCATTTTGAGTTTCTCTCGGCTGTAGTCGACGATGCTGGTTATGTACAACATGACAAACCTCAGCATTACCTTCTACTGAATCATCTAACGTAGTCTGAGATACTGTTGTAAGTGCTTGCGGCTCTAATACAGTTGCGTTAGCTGTATTATGGTTTGTCGAATTGCTGGTGTATCTGGTGGTGATTGTGAACTCATTTTTATACTGTTACATTCATCCTCATCGGTACTATCTAATAAACCCAGAGGCGGCGAAATTTTCCTACGTTGGAATACTGTAATGGTGGTATTAATAATTAAGAAGGAATTGGAAAAGTATTTAAGAATTAATTTAAAAAAAACTTGAGAAAACAAAAATTCGTTGCGTTTCGCGCGAAAAAAAAGTTGAAAGCGAAATTCGAGTATTTCTGTAACGAAGGATTTTGGGGTTTTTGAGTCTCTTTCAATATTTCGAATTTTTCTCTGAAAAATGGCTAAAGATATAAGAACAACACAGATTATAATCAGGATATCTTTAATCATTTTTTAGAGAAAAATATCTCCAGTTAGGAATCGAGACCTTTGGCGAATTAAAATTAATTTCCACGCCGCATGACGTCTCTTACAGGGGTGATCAGTGTAATATGTGGTCCTTTCCTTTCCCAAACGAAAGTCAGTTTTTACTTTCCTTCTTTTGGGAGACGGAAACAGAAAGTGTCATCCCTAGTAGCTTCTGCAAAAAAGCCTGATTTTTCAAGTAAAATTCACTTTTTTGTATCCAGAAACATTTCTATGAATAAGCATAGCCATATTCGGAACCAGCGTGGGAAACTGAATCGAACAATGTGTCGCATGAACCATTTTTGTAGAAAAAGATTTTTGAAAAAAATTAATAGAAAGGTCCCCTCATCGTTTTTGACCGAAAAGTTTTTTCTGAGAAAGCTTTTTTTTTTTTTTTATCCAATGCACCACTTACGATTAGAGTTTTAAAAAGATTCCATCTTACGGCAGTTTTTCGTAACGCTGTGGCAAAAACTTAATATCTTGGTGATTTTCGTAAAAAGCCAACTAGCTTTCTACCAAATATCAAGGTTGCCTTTTACTATTATAAGTCAACTTTGACATTTAGGACTTGAATTATTGCATAGATATCTAAAATAACAAGAAACAACATCTACATCGATGTTAAACGTGTTTTTTGTCGTAATTTTACGGTCAAAACTGTGAAACTAGTCTAAAGTGTTACCGATAAGTTATTTTTCTGTTTCTTCTTCGACTCGCTTGAAGTAAAAGTCAACGATTCGTGCGTATTTGGAATGAGCGTAATGTAAAAAATTATTAATCAAGTATTGTTTTGACTATAACACAATAGATAAGAAAGCAAAGAGTTTCACTATTTCTTTTAAAGAAAGCCCATACTTCACTGGTAATAGTACATTCTTCTTTAAGGATTCAGATCAAGTTATTTAGGAGCAAAATAATTTGAAAAGGATGACTTTCAAACATGTAACGTACAGCTTGTGCTTTAGAATTAGTTTGTAACATTTTTCTTCCTCACACAAGGCACTCACATGACCTCGAAGTATGTTTTCCTATACTTTCGAATGCGCTCTACAAAATCACGTTAACGGTTTAGTCTCGTTTTAAAATAAAAATTTAATCAATGAAGTCTCACGTTAGCTGGACAAGTCCCGCAGAAAGTTAACGGTATTTACTAAAATAGTGTCAGTAATCATATTCTTATTTTCAAGGTTTACTACACATATCTGCTTTCTGTTTCTCTTTAAAATTGAACACTGCGTTATTCGAAAGGTAGAAAAAACTAAAAGCGGGTAATAAGTTTAAGAATGGTAAGAGCTGACATGGTTATATCTACAGGGTGGCCCATAGGTCCTGATACGATTTGTATAATAATTTTTCTAAAGTAAAACACATGTTTGTAAATTTCTCTCTATGATGAAAAGACGCAGTAAACCTACAAAATAGCTTTTGATTGACCCCGCTAGC